AGCACTAATTTAACCCAAGCTAAGGACCCACATTTTCTGCCATCATATGCACAGTGAAAAGTCAAGGAGAATAAAAAAAGAGAACTCAAAATTTGCAGTGTCATTTTCTCCTAAAAAAACTTTTATTGCGGAGCAAGAAGGGAGACAATTTATGTTACAGTTTTTGAAAGCGGGTTTCACGAATCTTTCTTGGCTTGACAGTAATACCAATTCCTCCCAAACAACTCCGCCTGAAACAGACAACTCATAATGTTAAAGTTAGGTATAGTTACAGTTGACTGAAAAAGGGACTTAGAAGGGAAATTGTTATGCAACTGCTACATTATGAATTACTGCCAGATCTGAAGTTAATACTAAAAGCAGCCATTTTCTTCTGATTGATTTGGTACTCTTATCCTTCCGTGGAATGACAATAGTAACCTCTAAATGATAGCATTGCTTGAAGTTTTCTCATTTCTTTTTGCACAGACAAAAAGAAATAAATGCATTGTATTCAAAGGCACAAAATCTTTGGAATTCATAGCATTTGGTGAAACCGAAAGCGATCAGATAAGTACTGGTTTAACAAATTGTGATACGCACATATATTCCAACAGGGAATATGCGATGTTTTACTTCGGTGAGAGCAGAGTCCCAGCACACTTAATGCTCTACTGTTTCCTCAGCAAAATCTCTTCTGCTATATCAAATAGGTCACTGCACTGAAATCACAGCTACGTTTTAAGTAGATTGTGTTAACTTTATGAATGCATCATAAAATGGGAACTCCGTAACTTTGTATTGACACTGTTTTACTGTTGCAATTTACCACTGTAATGGCACTATTTAGGAAACAATGAATGAACTGCAATGAGATAATTAAGGGATAATCTACATTACTTCCAAGTATACAAAGCAATAAACAGCTGCCAAAACTGATTAATAGCTGAAGTGAAGACATTTAATCAATCTAATAAACCATTTATTGCAAGAATATAGCTGCTTACACTAACTATGAAACATTTATCTTATTGATATAAACTGCAGTTTTTTCCTTTCTTTAGGATGTAATATCATAAGACCTTGATTATTCTTCCATTAAAGTCAAGGATAAAACTCCCATTGTGGGGCCAGGGTCGAGCCTTCACCGTGCTGATATCAATGAAAATAAATGCTTCCTTTTAATGTAGAACAGTTCTGCTAAAAAACATTTTTTCCCCCTATTATAAAACATCCTATGGCATTGAAAGGGGGACACGTTTTAGTGGCAAGGACAAATGTCAGGAGTCATGATGAAAATCTGGATCTCCTACTAGCTTGTACTGCAATTTCCTGCAAAGCATTGTTCTGTCTGTGCCTCCACCACCTATCTGTAACATGGAGATGAAACCATTCACTTGTTCCACAGGATTATTTAGGATTTAGTTCATGTAGCATATGAAGAAACATAGATAGAAGATACTGTACACACTTCAGAGTGTCTCTAAAGTAAAAGCAGAAAGGAAACAACATGGATTGCTCTTGATCCTGTTACACCTATCTTATAACCGGTAAAGGAATGGGAGTGAGCGGGGTGGGAGAGGCTGAACCACATGCTCAGAGAAAGGGACCTGTTTCCTATGTTACAGCAGTGCTGCCAGTACAAATACAGCTGAGCTTCCTAAACTTCCATTCTGCTTCCCTCTGCCCTGCAAGAGCATGGACTTTCTACAGCTCCTAATGTGCTCTCAGTATCCTGCTTTTCTGCTCTCCACTTTAGACTGGCGGGGTGAGGGAGCCTGCATGACAGTAGCAGAGGGACAAGCACAGGGAGAGATATCCCCTCCTGGCATTTTCTCTCACCCTATTTCCACTTTATGTATCACTATAAATAGCAGTTCCCCCTCTAACTGAAGTAAGTACCAAATGCCTTAATAAGATCAATAAACAGCTAGATGTTTGACTGGAGCTTTACAACAAGTTGCAAAAACAATCTTACCAACATTTAAAACACACATAACACATTGGCTCAAGGTGAACATCATATTTGTCAAGCCTTGCAAAACATGCTTTTCATCAGACAAGACATTTATATCTCCTCATCCCTGCATAGAAAAGAGGCATTAGAGCACGTGTTCTCCTACCACACGTTATAATTTCCCTTTCCCTGCAAAGCAGAAGATGTTTTTAGTGCTGGATGACTCTCAAACTTGCTCTGAAGCAACCCCTTTGTCTTAATGCTAGTAGGAAGCTACTTTGGTTTTATCCAAATATAAATATTGATACAGAAACTCATACCAAATAATAACAGAGGTATGAATTTATTGTTTCAGCAAAAGCTTCTATGCAAATTAACTCTCAGATGATTAAAAATGCCTCCAGTGCCTGGGCAGGTAAAAGATCAAGCACTTGCTGGATTACAACATAACTAGTGCTGTGATAAAGCTTCATAATACCTTAGGAGCAGGAGCTCTCAACCTTTACAGGTAGCAGAACTAATTCCATCAGCCAACATGTACTAACTCCTATTCATCTGTGCCCGATCTAACCTGTAAGGGACTGTTTGCAACTGCAAGACTCTTGTTTTGAGAAGCCAAAGCTGAACAGCAGGTTGAAACTTGCACAATTGGATGCAGTGCAAGCAGTGGCATTGCACTTGTTCCCTGTGCAAGTGTTTGTCATAAGAGCAGGATGGGCAAACCTAAAATACAAGTCCCAGAAACCTGCAATACTGGTATCTCTGCATGTACTGCTGTTTAGGGAGTGTTAGTTTTGTGAGAGAAAACACAGCTACATTTTGAATGACTTTTTCTACACTAAACAAATGCAGCAATTTGAAGACTCGCAGCAAAATGTTTAAATGTGTTGACTGTAGGAATACACTCATCAAGAGTGAAACAAGGCTCCAGAACTTTAAGTAATTTTCGCCAGAAACTAGATGTGGCACTACCGCAGATTAGAAATTCCTCAAGGCTGGGCCCATAGTCTCCCTTTACAGTAAAGCACTGCAATGAGAACAGCTGCTTGCTGTTGCTGGAATTAAACGCAATGGTCATTTCTGCAACCTAGCTTGGCAGCTGAAATGCCATGTTTTTGCTACTGTTAACTAAAACTGTTCAGAGCTACAGACATATTTCTATAGATATTTTTTAAAAATGCACACAGTCAGTGGTTTTCTCTTTTAGGGCAAAAAAAAAAGATAGTTGTAACCAATATTACTAAAATTCATGTTGCCTGAGTCTACGCCAGCTACAGAAGGATTTTCCCCAATTAGTCAATGGAATTTAAAATTATATCTGTCCTTTTTGTAGCAAGGCTGCAATAGAAGCTCATATATATATTAGAAATATTTTTTTTTCTAGGAGAGAAAGGAGGTTGCAATTCCTTATTTACATTAAATACACCACCATGCTTTCTTAAAGGTTTTCTCTGGATTTTACTCTCTGACAGCCCCACAAAAGGGCCATTATTCTGGGTGGGCTCCCCCACCTACCTTCCCCACCATCGTGCCCAAGACCCTGGCTAACAGCAGGTACTTGAGGAGGGCAGGAGGAGCAGGGCATGCTACACTACAGCCAGTCTCCTGATGCTCCAGCAAACAGCAGTATTGGGAATTCCTGGAGAGTCAGACGTGCCTTTTAAGATGCTCTAGGAAAAAAAAAAAAAAAAAAAAAAGAGTATTTTTCCTGAGAGAAGCTGCCAAGACTGCCCTCGGTACCTTCTAGTTACACACTTGCCCCTGAAAAACACTTCACGGCCACCTGTAAAAATAGTTCACTCCCCGCTGGCCACATCTCCTCCTCAGACAATTTATACCCGTTCCCAAAGGAAACCAGCCCCGCTCAGCGCAGCGCCGACGTCGGACAGCCCTGAGGAGGGAAACAGCGCACAAGCGCCTTT